TGGCCTGCGACGTGCGGTCACAAGCAGGCCCCCCCGGAAACCCTTTATCGCAGACGGCGATTCACATCGACCGATGCTCAAAGAAGTACTCATCTGGAAATTCCTATTGCAAGCTGATCCTGTTCCCTTCAAGGATCCTCGTGGGAGGTCAGATTCTGTGTAGGCTTGTATGGGTTTGCTGTATGAACTTCTGATTTTTTTTCAGAATGAACATCAAGAAAACCTTTCCCGACAAATGCAAGGCTGTGCGTTTGGAGACAACCCCCCCCATGTTAGCTAAACAGGGCACGCCCTTTTGGGGGGCATCTGTCTAGGGAAACCAACAGAAACCAACCAGGGTTTTGTCGGAAAGTCAAGGGCAGCAAGAAGGAAATCAAGTAACCAGTTTCAGAAGGTTTTTTTGTTATGCGACACCCAATGCGTGGCATCGAGTCTGTGGACATGTCTTTAGTTCACAAACTGGAAACAAGGAGTCCAGTCCCTCCAAGGAATTTTGCCGGTATGGGCTTTGGAGCTATGGAAGTATGGAGGTTATCTACAACTTGTGTTCGGACTGCCTACCCATTCATTCCATTTCCATGTATAGGTAACCAAACTGAAAGCAAGGGTTATATGGCTGTGGGTCAAAGCCAATAGTGCCATTGTGGGGCAGGTGAACCACCCATTTGAATCTATTTTAGTGGGGATTGGGATGTTCACTGCTTCTTGGCCCATAGCTATAATATAGGAAATTGGGATCCACAGGGTTCTATTCGGTGGTACGGATCTCCACCTTCAAAACCCATACCTGGAAATTCCCCCACAGCGACGCTTCGCCTGCGACAGGGATGCTGCAAGCGCCAGCTGCCTGAGCTATGCGTGCCTGAAATGTCCATACCTTTTGGGGTCACACAGGTGGGGTACCATACATATGAATCTTAATCTAGTGTACCATACACTAGAATGGTTTTTCTGCCATTCATGAATACAATCAGGGGGTCTACGACCCAACCTGCTAGGAAAAACATGCGCCAGTCAAGTAAGGGCGATACAATTTCCCAAAAAAAACATCGGTGCATTTGAATACCCCAAGACTCCCCAAAGGTGCATGTTCAATGACCTGTATGAAACCAGGTTGCAGCACCGCAGCACCCTCCCCTAAAATGGCCAATGTGGGTTGTGGGCGCCCGTAGGGCCCCCTCGTCAAATCTCTCCGAAGCTGGAACCCCAGCTGCTCGCGCACAAAAGGCCCCTTATGGTGAGTCAACCCCAATTTAAGCACATGGGTATGTCTTTTCTTGGGAACCCTTCTGCCCCAAAACTGGTTTCGGTGTGTTCCCTTTAAAACCACAACGAGGAAGGCACCAAAAGGCAGAGACATAGTGCTTCAATCTCCTCGGGTTCCCCCTTTTAAGGGGTCAGAATTGGGTCCGGTTCTCAATCCCACGGCGGAGGAAGTGGGACTCCCATCGACCCGGTGTCGGAAGTGTGCGGAAGTAGACCCTTCCCAAACGGTTGCTGTCCTTTTGGTTCTTGGAAAAGCAGATGGGCGTGTCCTTTTTTAGGGTTGTGTCCCGCACAAAATCATTGGGTTCTCCTTTTCTCCTTAAGGCCGACCAAAATTCTGGGGAACGTACAAATGAGCGCCCGTTTCACGGGTTCCTTAGCGTTCCTTTGTATTCCCCAGTGTAAGGGAGCCTCAGGGACCCCCCCCGCCCAGTCCATAACAAGGGGGGAATTGGCTTAAATAGACGAGCCAGCAACCAGCACCTTTCACTACCGCGGCGCAAGCCCTCCGGCCAGTTGGGGCAGAAGTCTGCCACCAAAGTGCCCAGCTCCTCCCCAGCCGGCGTGAGCACATCCACGGATTTCCGGGGCCGCGGTGCAACATGTGAGTCATAATAAATATAGGTTTGCCTTGCGGCTTCCCCTTATCCAGCCCTTTTAAGGGTTTACAAAAGCGGGTTCCACCAAAAAGGAGTCAATCCAACCAAGAGAGTCTCAATCAAAACTTGGCATTAAAATGGCCTACCCAGAACCATGTAAGGAACTAACAAGGAAAAATAAGGCACCCATTCATGGTGGGGATTCTCCCCTCCACCCGGGCATTGAGCAAGTGGCTCGTTTGGAGGTTCCCTTCATAGAAAATGTCGGAAAGATAATGGGGGTGGGGTGGTTCTTTCTTTTTGAGTTGGAACCCTTTTCCCGAAAGCATTGCGAAAGGTTCTTCCGATAAAGTCGTTGCGTTCTGCACAGCTCAACTGCGTAGGGAAAGTAGACAGTGAAATGCCTATAGAGGCAGGCGCAGGGCAAGTACAGAGTGAAGTGCATAGAGGCATTCACAGAGTTGACAGTGAAGTGCATAGAGGCACACACACACATGTTTGATTCCACAAAATCAGATTCCAAGCTGTCGTTTTCGCTTGGGATCTGTCTGAAAGGAAACAACAAAAAGTTTCGGCCTATTAGGGCCCCCCCATTTGCAGACACACCCATGTTGTGGATGGACCAAATCCACTTTGCACCAGGTATATAGATGCTTTAAATATGGGGTTTCATGCGTCCCAACTGACGTGGAGTTGATTTTGTCCATCCACAGGTTTGTGTTTGTTGAGGCTCGGTACCCTTTTTGAGGTTGTTCTATAGGGAAACCAACAGGAAACCCTAACTTGTTGGGTCCCCTTATTTTGAGACATCTCCGCTACAAGTTAACATGAAACCTCAAAGGCCAAAGACTTTCCTCTAATCACAAATGGTGGTTTTTGGTTCCAAGCTGACCTGTAGGAGAGTAATGAGAAGGTGACTTCCGTTTCTTGCCTTCGCATCCACCATCTTGGAGAGCCGCAGGAGATATGTCAGTACCTGGCATGCCAATTGCGAGTCCGAGTCGAAAAAAGATTCTATAGCCCATTAGCACAAGAAACATGCAGAAAATGGCCATGCACCCTTCTGTACCATGCATGCAGCGGTTAATTTCCATTCAACGGATCAGTTCATTCCTTCAACAGCGTCACTCACGAAAGTGGCAACCACTGAGTCTAGAACTGTAGCAACTGCATAGTTGAAAATGTTTCTCTACTCTTGAGCAGGGTTGTGGCAAATGACCATTTATGTGATAGAACTCCCAAAGACTACCCCCCATATAAAGAGGGGATTCCCTTGTATCACAGAAGTGGGGATAAACCCCTTGATTTCACAAACCTGATCGTGAGAGCTGTAAACTTGGCGCGCGGCCGGCTTCTTTCTTATGAGAGCGCGACATTCGCGAGATCCTTTTAAGTTTGTCGGTCTGGACAGGCCATCTGTTGCAACAGGTTTCTCCCGGCCTTACCAAAGGCCAGGCATCGATCCGAGCTGTCTCGCCGCCTCGCCTCATCGTCGAAGGGCAAAGTGGCGCCGAGCCAGCTTTCCAGCTCTGCCCTCCGGGCATGACCTGCCCCGCTTCGGCTTCGGAGCGGGTGTGAAGGTTCCTTAGAAACTTCTTCGGGGGGGGGATGTGCCTATGGTGGTGAGAATCTGCATTCCCAGCATTATCAGGGCTGGCTTGAAGGCGGCATGACTTTTGTTGCTGTTTTTGCTGATGTCAATGGTATCGTTGTGTTTTGAGCGAAATTGGATTTGGCATAGTTGGGGTCTTGGCGGGGGCAAGTGTAGTTCTAAGGGAACTGCAAAAATTGGAAAAGTGTGTTTTTGTGAAATCCTCATTGTCATTGGGGCGTCGCTGCGCAACATCCCCAGCATTAGTGCATGCGCTCTTAGAAGTGCTGTCATCCTTGGGAAAAATCGAGAAACACTTTTTTTGCACTCTGCATCCCTAGCATGCCCTGCACTCCCAGCATTCCTCGCACCCCACCATCCCCAGTACTTGGCCAATTTTCGCGTCCGAATTCATGACATTGTCGCCTTGAACATTCTGACTGCATCCTCCGCATTCGCAGCACGTGGGAGGGATACGCAGTTGATCGCTGCAGTCGTCGCACCACAGATGGCGTCGGCGGATCCCGTAGAGATTTCGAGGCTTCCCTGCACAAACCCAGAAGGTGTTTAGGGGTTTCTTAAAACGATCTCGGATTATTCTTGGCAGGAAACCAAAAGAAAAACAAAGGCCGAGGTCCGGGCCTGTGCACCGAAACGCGTAGCAACTTTCGCGTGTATGGGTGCGTCGTTTTTGCGGGGCACCTGTTTTTGGTGAGTTTGAAGGACACCAAAAGGAGAACCACAGTTTTGCAGGTCGCCCAAGCCAGTGTAAAGAATCAAAGGGCTGGGCATCCGCGCCAAATTCTCTTGGAACTGTCCCTCAACCTGACTTACCCGGGTTTCTCAACTACCCCCTACAAATGGCTGGTCCTTCTGGATTCCCAAGAACCGATCCCCTTTGAGAACACGACAGCCATGCTCAAAATTCCTTCTTCTCCGATTGCTCTCATCATCGACGGAAGTGCCGTCTCAGCCCCGGGCTTCTCATGTGCACGAGCTGTGCGAACCCATCCATGCCATGGCGATATGAGGAGACTCGATCCAACGGGCCCGAATTTGAGGGCACCGGATGTCTTGCGGGGTTGGTTCTAAAGGTTATGAAAGCAAAAGGAGACACTCATATTTTAGGGAAGAAGCCAACCAAAATTCATTTTGGCTGTTTCCGCAAAAAGAACAACGTACACCATTTGGAGGGGTCCAGGACATCCATTTTTATTCTTGAGGCATGCCCTGACAAGCCCCATTGAAGGCTAGGTTAGGACATGGGGGGGTTGGGCCCAACACATGGGGTGATGGGGCCCCTGCCTGCAAAAGGTGTTTCGGGCTGGGCTGGCGGTGGAAAGGTTTGGCCACTGAAATAGAATTGAACAAACTGCCCATGCGCACTTCTGCCTTGTGCTAAAAACTTTCGACAAGTCACATTAGGAGGGCCTGTCAAGTGACACTTGAGCCATAAACCGCGGTGAACAGGTTCTCGATAAGAGCTTGTGCATTGCGCCGTAACTACAAAGGACTCTGTGCAACTGCAGCTTCTTAGCTTCTTTCCACCTGCCGCGACACGGGGCGGAGTTCCAAATGTGGGTCTAACACGTAAAGCAATCCTGCGGCAGCTTCACCTGCGCGAGACTGCTCTCCGGCACTCCGCTTTTTGCGCAAAAATCGGAGTGCCAGACTCGGAACCTGCTCGCGACACATGGCTCTTAGTAGCCCCAGCGAGGGCCACCGCCGAAAAGGTGCACAGGCGTGTGGTGGACGAAGTACCAAATGCAACGGCCGATGAAGCCATAGGCGCACTCGTCAGTCTTGGAGGCCTCGATGAACTCCTTCTGAACGGCGCAGACCTGTCCCCACACGCAGCAAAGCCCGGAGTTCTTCTCCCAATTGGCACCTGCCACGAAGCAGGCGTCATCTGGACCAAGCGAGGTGGCGAACATGCCTGCACCCCAAGGCCAGTGCATGTCGGCAACCTTCAGCTCACCGCCGCAGCAGTCCGTGGTCTTGTTCTGGAACAGCATCTTGTCAATGTGTTCGATGTTCTTGCAGGCCACAATGCACATCTCCTCACCCGGGTAGGAGATCTTGGGGATCGGCGGGATGGGCCACTCATCCGGCTTCTTGCCGGGCGCCTCAACGCAAGAGTAGTTGCAGTCACCCACCGCAAAGATCCTGGGGTAGCCCTTGTCATCTGCTCCCCAAGGCTTGCCCTCGCGAGTCTTCACCCCGAGGTTCATGTCCTGATGGCAGAAGACAAGCGCCCACAAGCAATCCCACATGCATCTGACGCGTTTGCCCCGGGGCTATCTCAGGAGTCCAAGGCCATACGCGTACAAGCGAAACACCAAGCCTCAAGTATGTTGCTGCTACTTGCCCTCCGCTGAACAAGGCGCAACAGCGATATCAAACTGAGAGCGCGGCCATCAGAATCCAGCCACCGCCACCGGGGCCCTTCTCGCTCAGGGTCTCCTTGGGCATGAAGTAGTTGGACGCCTTCACGCCGATGCACACGTACTCCTTGTCGGGGCCACTTGGCAGGCCGATGGCGTTCCAGAAGTCGGGGCTCTTGGCATCATACTTGGTGTTGTAGAACTGTTTGATGCCAACCTTCTTCATGTAGTTTTCCTCAGTTCACGGCACAAGTCAGGCGTGATTTGAAGCCAATTCGATAATCAACTGCTTAGTTGGCTTCAGCGTGGATTGAGTAGAGTGACAGCTGGTCGATCCTCCCGCCCTGCCCCCACAGGCCGCTTGCCCTGAACGCAACATATCACCCACGCCCTGGCCAAGTGTAGTCCGAGTTTCGCAGTACGTGGCTGCCGACTTGGGCAGGGGGCCCAGGGGCTGGGGCAGGAAGTCGATGATGGTGAGCTTCAGCTTTGGGAAGAAATGCTGCAGCTCAGTCACCCACTCCACTCCGATGAAGCCAGCACCCACCACCAGGATGGAGGCGGCCTTGTCGTTCAGGGCCTTGATGGTGTTGTACCTTGCGCCGTGTTGACGCTTACCACAAGCTCCCCAAGCTCAGAAGCGTGATCTTCATGGCAAGCGCTATGCCTTGGACCGACTGATAGCCTTCAACTACCCCTTATGTGATATTTATCTAGGCAAAGCACCAGGAGTCTCCAACTGAACTTCATGATCCCCGGGAGCCTTTTTTTTTGTTGAGGCTCAGTCCCCTTTTCCTGTGGAAAACCATGCTACCCTTCCTCCCACGAACTTGACATCTGGGGAGGCACCTGGAGTTTCCTGTTGGAGAGGCCCCCTGTCAATGACCCCGGATTTTGGAAATGAACCGGAAGGGAATTGCCTAGGCATGTTGCTTCGGGTCACTCAAACTCACTCCTTGCCTATCGAACCAGCAAGTCAACTTAAGAGGCTAAACCATGCTAAACCCAGAGAGGGTATTAATTTTCACGGCTGGTTCGACCCCGGTTCCATTTTTGTAAGGCTAGTAAGCTGAAGGAATTTTCATAGCGCCCAAGTGCCGGTTCCGTCCGATTCCACCGGAAAAACCCGAAACTCCTCCCACCCTCGCGCCGGCTCGCTCGCATTTGTGCGTCCAAGTGGCTCCTCGAGGACGTGCCTGCGGCGGCCCTCCAGGAAGCGCTCGTCCAGGTGCGGCCAAGAGCCTCCGAGTCAGCTTTCCACTGGCTGCTTTGTGGCTTTTTTGGAGTTGGTACCCCATTTTTGAAGGGAGTTGTGTTTTTGTCCAAATGGGTGTGTCTTGTTTGGACATTTTTTATGTGGGTTACTTCCTGAGTGGAGTGGCCAGAAAAAGTATCCACCAAAATGGTCCAAACCAAAAAAACACAATAATCCCCAGGAACTCAACTGAGGTGGTTTTAAAGTGAAAACCAAACGGAGAATCATAATTCTTGGGGTCCCTTTTTGCTTTCAGCTTCGCTTTAAAACCACCAACAAAGAGATGCCTTCAAACAAAACACACAGCCGATTTGGACAGAAACCGGGAGATCTTTCTCGACTTCCCCTTCTCGTCCGGTTGGGTATGCTTCCAAAAGGATTTGTTTAACCCCCCAAAACAACTGGGGGATGAAAGATGCGGGCAGGTGTCCAAATAGGGGCTTGGACCGACCCTTCCAAAATGGGTGCTTTGTGTGGACCTGCAAAAAGAACACGTAAGACATGGAAAATTAAGCGCGCGTGAGGAAATTGAGTGAGTTCTCCCTTCCCTCCCGAATGGACCACCACAGACTAGTGGAAGTTTGACCGAACCTCAAATGGGTTCAGAAATCAGACGCCAAAAAACATGACTGTTCCCACCTTTGACATACTGCATCACATATGTACCGCTTAGCCAGGTATTTGGGCTTGGGTGTCTCAAAATAGGGACCAAGACAGGTTTCATTGTCGGCTTCATGGGGGCGAAAACCACATGCTTGTCCTTTGGTGCAAGCAATCGGAACCCGTGAACTACAAGCTGTTTAGCTATGGATTGCGATAGGGGTCATGGTTGTCGTGAGTATCGCCGTTTCTCTGATGCCGATATGAGTCATTCCCAGGACTACTTCACTTTGAAGGGATTGATATCACAGAAAGCGGCCCTACCCCTATTTCTCACCACGCTGATGGTGCTAGGTGTAAAAAGCTCTCTCCTTGCGGACTTCTGGCTTTGGACAAGGGCACCCTGTTTTTCCTGATTTCAGGGCTCAACAAAAGGCTGGGGGAATCGTAAAAACGACCTTCCTCCCCGTTTGCCCGTCAAAAGGCTCCCGGAAAAGTGTGAATGTCTTCCTCGGGCTGGTTGTTGCATGCTACAATGCTCAATCGAGCAGGTGGGTTCGTAGGGCAACTTGAGGGTGCGCACTCTACAAGACGTTTGATCCTTGGCGTCTGCGAAACCCATGCCCCGAGTTCTGACGCGTCAGAAAATTTCGACACCCAGAAAACGGCTTGGATCTCAGGACCCACACCGCCCCATCGGCCCAGGGGTCAATGGAATCGCGATCTGTGCCTTCCGGTCGCGCGTCCTCGTGGATGGTGGGGAACCAGAGGGACTCACCCCACCTGAGCGTGGGGGAATCCATGTGTTGCGATGGAAACTGCAAGGGAAACCAATCTGGGTGAATCATAATATTTCACCAACCTGAAGTAAGGTGGTTTGGGGAGCTATTCCCCACATAAACCACCATTTGGGGTGAGGTCGTGTGAGGTCGTTATAATTCACCCAGACCAATGGAGATCAATGGAGGTCCACTAAGAGACACACACATGTCATGAAAACCGTCCCAAAGCAAGAGGTTTCGATGGCTCAGACACAGCAGAGTAAAACAAAACATGGATCTTCCTAGTAAGGACTAGGCCGAGCAAGGGCCTGTAAGACCTCAGGCCCTGAAGCTCTAGAAAGACCTAAAGCCCCTGTGAGGAGCCACCGTAAGTGGACGAACAGTTGAATCTTTTGTCGACTGGATCACCCGGCACCCCAAAGCTCAACCAATGTTGCTCAGTTTTTGGGAAGGATCCAACCGACTGGGTTTCCCTTTTTTGAGTTTCCAGAAGTCTAGACCTAGTCAAACCTGAGGCCCCAGTAACACCCCAGGTCTCACTAACGCCCGCACTTGGTCGAAAACCCTCTCATTTTCCCCGTGGGCGTGCCTCCCCAAAAGGGCTTCGGTCTTCATGTTGGTGTTTCTTTTAAAGAAGTTACACACACACACACACGCATTACCGACTCAAAACGAGTGTTTCGAGGCCGCGGCTTGTGAAAAGGCCCAAAGTTGCACCCCGCCGCGATGATGCAGAAGTCGAAGTCAATGGTTTCCTTGGGCCGTGTGTTTCCTCTTTGTCCTCTCCGCTTTTGTTCGATTTGTTCATTTCTTGGGGGGGGTGGATGTTCTTTTCTGTTAAATTTGTTGCTTTCTCCAAAGGGAAATGTGGTGTGTCTTTAATCTTACGCATGTTATGCTCGGTGGGATTGGCATGTGCATTTTTTGAGGGTATCACTTTGGCCGAACCGTGTTTGGGGGGGGTTCTTGAGACATGTGGCTATGAATTTCAATGCATCAAGCAAGCACTTTGCAAAAATCAAGCAGAAACAAATAATCAAGCAAAATGCATTGGCCACCACTGTAGAGAGGCTAGAAACTGCGGCATCACAAACAACTTGTACCAGACAAGTGTTTGTGTGTGTGTGCGTCTGTGCGTCTGCGCGTCTGTGCGTCTGTGCGTCTGTGCGTCTGTGCGTCTGTGCGTCTGTGCGTCTGTGCGTCGTGCGTCTGTGCGTCTGTGCATCTGTGCATCTGTGCGTCTGTCTGCGCGTCTGTGCGTCTGTGTGTCTGTGTGTCTGCGTGTCTGTGTGTCTGTGTGTCTGTGTGTCTGTGTGTCTGTGTGTCTGTGTGTTTGTGTGTCTGCGTGTCTGTGTGTCTGTGTGTCTGTGTGTCTGGGTGTCTGCGTGTCTGTGTCTGCGTGTGTGTCTGTGTGTGTCTTTGTGTCCGTGTGTCTGTGTGCGCGTGCTTGTTGTGAATGTGTGTGTGTGTGGGTGGGGGATGCTGGGGGTGCGGGTGTGGGTGTGGGTGGGTGTTTGTTTGTTTGCTTGCTCATTTGTTTGTTGGTTGGTTGGCTGGTTGGTTTCTTTTTTCATTTGTGTGTTTCCTTTATTAATTATTGTTTGTCCGCCGACATTGCTCGGCGTGTCGGACACCTAAGAGAGGATAGAGGATAACCCCCCCCCCTCCCGACGTCTGATACGTGGGGGGGGGGGGCCCCCCCCCCCCAAGGACCGCGCGGCAATTTGATGACGTTCCACTAAACGTAGTCTTCGGGGACCCGGTGTCGCAAAACAGGGGTCCCAGGCTCGATTCCCCCTGCCGGCTTTTTTGCTGGCTTGGGCTTCCTGCATCCTTTTGCCGAAAATCTGGAAAAACTCTGTGTTTTTGGACATCATCTTTGCGAAAACGCTGGAAAAACAGTGTTTTTTGCGGGAAATACTGGGGAGCAAAGGGGAAGTGCAAGGATACATACATACAGACATACATACAGACAAACAGACATACAAACATACATACATACATTACATTACACAACATCACATTACATTACTTAAATTACATCGCATTACATACATACATACATACATTACATTACATTACATTACTTTACATTACATTACATTACATTACATTACTTTACATTACATACATTACATTACATACATACATTACATACATTACATACATTACATACATTACATTACATTGCATACATGCATACATGCATTACATACATACATACATGCAGGCATGCATACATACATACCTACCTACCTACCTATACACATACATACATACATACATTACATTACATTACATTACATTACATTACATTACATTACATTACATTACATTACATTACATTACATTACATTACATTACATTACATTACATTACATTACATTACATTACATTACATTACATTACATTACATTACATTACATTACATTACATTACATTACATTACATACATTACATTACATTACATTACATACATACATACATACATACATTACATTACATTACATTACACACATGCATACATGCAATACATACATACATACATGCATGCATGCATGCATGCATACATACCTACCTACCTACCTACCTTACATACATACATACATACATACATACATACATACATACATACATACATACATACATTACATACATACATACATACATACATACATACATACATACATACATACATACATACATACATACATACATTACATACATACATACATACATACATACATACATACATACATACATACATACATACATACATACATACATACATACATTACATACATACATACATACATACATACATACATACATACATACATACATACATACATACATACATACATACATACATACATACATACATACATACATACATACATACATACATACATACATACATACATACATACATACATACATACATACATACATACATACATACATACATACATACATACATACATACATACATACATACATACATACATTACATACATACATACATACATACATACATACATACATACATACATACATACATACATACATACATACATACATACATACATACATACATACATACATACATACATACATACATACATACATACATTACATACATACATACATACATACATACATACATACATACATACATACATACATACATACATACATACATACATACATACATACATACATACATACATACATACATACATACATACATACATACATACATACATACATACATACATACATACATACATACATACATACATACATACATACATACATACATACATACATACATACATACATACATACATACATACATACATACATACATACATACATACATACATACATACATACATACATTCATACATACATACATACATACATACATACATACATACATACATACATACATACATACATACATACATACATACATACATACATACATACATACATACATACATACATACATACATACATACATACATACATACATACATTACATACATACATACATACATACATACATACATACATACATACATACATACATACATACATACATACATACATACATACATACATACATACATACACATACATACATTACATTACATACATACATACATACATACATACATACATACATACATACATACATACATACATACATACATACATACATACATACATACATACATTACATACATACATACATACATACATACATACATACATACATACATACATACATACATACATACATACATACATACATACATACATACATACATACATACATACATACATACATACATACATACATACATACATACATACATACATACATACATACATACATACATACATACACATACATACATACATACATACATACATATACATACATACATACATACATACATACATACATACATACATACATACATACATACATACATACATACATACATACATACATACATACATACATACATACATACATACATACATACATACATACATACATACATACATACATACATACATACATACATACATACATACATACATACATACATACATACATACATACATACATACATACATACATACATACATACATACATACATACATATACATACATACATACATACATACATACATACATACATACATACATACATACATACATACATACATACATACATGCATACATACATACATACATACATACATACATACATACATACATACATACATACATACATACATACATACGAGAGACGGAGATTGGGGAGAGAGTGGCTTGGGGGGATGGGGAGGATGGGGAGCGGAGGGAGGGAGAGAGGACGACAGAACACACCAGGGAGACAAGGGAGAGAGGAAGAAGGAGAAAAGGGAGAGGACAATGTCGGCGGACTGAGCCGGAGGCTCTAAAGTTGTTTGTTTGATTGATTGCTTGATTCTTTGTTTGTATGTTTTATTGTTTGCCTGTTGTTTATGTTTTTTTGTCTATTGTTTATTTATGTATCGTTTGTGTGTGTGTGTGCTTAGCCTAAAGAGTGCTTCAAAACCGGGTTTCCAAGCGTTTTACTGTGTTTTGCAGCAAATCATACTCATTAAGATCTTCATTGATGCCTCCTAAGTTTTGTTCTTGATTTGGAGAACAAAGTTCTTCCCCCCCCCCCCCCCCGGGTTTTCGCGGAGCAAGACCATGTTCGACAAGAAGGCGGGCCTGCCTGCCTGCCTGCCTGCCTGCCTGCCTGCCTGCCTGCCTGCCTGCCTCTTCTGAAGTTGCTTCCTCTTTGCACATGACAATGAGTCTTTTATTGATGCCAAATAAGTCTTCGTTTGACGCGTAACAAGCTTTTGTTTCATGCTTGATAAGTTGGCTTGATACATGCATATTCCTTTTACATCACCACAGAAAGGGTACAGTCAAAAGACGACACAGCTGAAACAGACCCAAGGCAAAAGTGCTTGCCTGGAGGAAACCAAAGGCCCGGCGACCTTTCTGATTCGTGGGCAGGGGTTCAAATTCAACCATCAATCCAAATCACTGAAGGGTAAGGTGAAGCACGGGCTTTCTCCAAGTCTCCCGGTCTGACTGGAACATGGGCTTGTAGGTCGCAGTCTTCTGCTCGCCGTTCAGTTCCTTCACCTCGCCCCAGATGTACTTGCAGGCCATGCGGGTCTCAGGAGGCGAAAAAAAAAGAAGAGAGAAGCAAATAATGTAAAGATGTGCAAAGGCATTCAAAGCTGCAAAGTCAAAAAACACATGCCAGATGTAAATTCCCAACACATCATAGTTTATGTGCCAACCGCACAGACTTACTTCATGTCATTGGTACGGGCAAGCTTTCCAACATGCAGCTCCGTGCCTCAATGACGGGCTGCAGCGTGAAGGTCAGCGCATCCAAGTGCTTGGGCTTCACATAGGCACGGAGCACTCCCGGAGTGTACTCGAAGAATTCCTGGCTTCATGATACGCGCAGGCGGGGACACTCGTTCCCACAATATCTTTTGATCGATCCGACCGTGCAACCTGCGCAAGGCACAAAGCCTACCACTGGCAGCGGCGGAAAACTACATGTTTATTCGAATTCGACGCATATCTGGCGGCAACACACTAACCCTCAAAGAAGAGGCACCCAATTGGGGCCCTGAGGCCCTGTGGTTGTCGTGAAAGCCAGCAAAATGTTGTACAGAAAGCCTGTCTTTGGTGTTTGGCCAATGTGTGTTCTATCAGTATCAATCGCCTATCTGCGAAAAGGACTTTGTCCTTCCAACAGGAATGGGTAGTTGAGGCCGACCCTGGAAACAAACAAAAGGGGACGATGCAATATGTACTAACTATGTCTGGTTTGGATTGGTCAAATTGATTCGATTGTGAGAGTCCCTATGCCAATTAGCAACTAGCAAGTAGTTTTTTTGTGGTGAGTATCAAGGGTGGTTTTGGGTGACTTTCGTGCGGTCAAATTTCATTCCGTGGGCCATGGGTCCCAGAAAGGAGCTCTTGCATTTTTTTGTTTATTAAAAAAAAGAAGAAAAAAAAAACAGGGTCCACCATCCCAAACCCCAAAAAAATGTTTTGACCATGGCACGCATGGTGTCTCCATGGTTTAGGCCCTAGGCCTTCCTAAAGTAAATCTAATGGAGTTTGGCCCCTGAGATTCTGGAAGCTATGGGGTCGACAGCCCAAAAAGTAACTTCCGTATTTCATTTCCTTTAGAGAGACCGCAACCCCTCCGGCCCCGGGCATCGAGTCCTTGGCATCGATGATGGTCACCAAGTAGTGGCTGGCCAGGTCCCGGCCCGCTGCCAGGCCTGCGAAGCTGCCGCCGATGAGCAGCACGCGGCGCCTCAAACGCCCCGAAACACTGGAACAAAGATACTCTTCAGGGGTCTATGTTAATTGTTTTTTGTTGTTTTATTTTATTTTATTTTTTGCGCTCTTGGGGATTTAAAAGGTCGGTAATACATGAGATGACCATGGGGGAGAACCACTGTTCTCAAACAATTACTTTCGGGGGGGGTGCGAGGTTGGAAGCAACCTGGCACACGATCTAGCTAGGTCTTTGAAAAACGAGCCCGGCACAAGCTGCTTCTTCCAGCGGGGGTTATTCTCCATTCTGTTCAGCCGTCATTCGCTCAAAAACCAGCTGCTTCTATTGATATTGCTGGTGCTCAGTAGAAATATGGGAATGAACCCAGGGATTCCCTTAAAGGAAACCACAAGGGATGGTTTATAAGGGTCATTCCCTCATTCCCTGCTGAGAACCAGCAAGGAATGGGGGCAAGTTGCTCCGAGAACTCTAGAGCCACACTTGTACCTCATCAAGCACTCACAGATCTGAGATTCCCACTGTTGAGGAGGCATGTCGATGACCAAGCTGAACTCAAACAGGAAAACTTGGGCCAAGAGACTCTGCGGGACCTGTGCGGAGAAAGCTGCAAGCAATGACAGGTCGCTCGGCTCATGCTGCTCTATGTCAGCTTCTCCCCCGATTAGCTTGGTTTCGTTGGAGGTTAGGGGGAGGTTTCCTGAACAACCCTTTGCAAAGGAGTGGTTCAATCCGCAAACCACCAATCCATACCACAAACTAACTGTTACCCGAATCTATGTCCAAGCGTGATGAGGAAAACATCACAACATGACAACAGTGATGCCGGTTCCCAAGCCCTCGTTGGAAACGCCAAAACAAGCAAATCGGAGGCGGCAATTTTACACCAACCGCGACACGGGGCGGAGTTCCAAAACGGCGTGACAAGGCTAAAAGCAATCCTGCGACAGCTTCACCTCGCGATGGCTCTTAGTAGCCCCAGCGAGGGCCACCGCCGAAAAGGTGCACAGGCGTGTGGTGGACGAAGTACCAAATGCAACGGCCGATGAAGCCATAGGCGCACTCGTCAGTCTTGGAGGCCTCGATGAACTCCTTCTGAACGGCGCAGACCTGTCCCCACACGCAGCAAAGCCCGGAGTTCTTCTCCCAATTGGCACCTGCCACGAAGCAGGCGTCATCTGGACCAAGCGAGGTGGCGAACATGCCTGCACCCCAAGGCCAGTGCATGTCGACAACCTTCAGCTCGCCGCCGCAGCAGTCCGTGGTCTTGTTCTGGAACAGCATCTTGTCAATGTGTTCGATGTTCTTGCAGGCCACAATGCACATCTCCTCACCCGGGTAGGAGATCTTGGGGATCGGCGGGATGGGCCACTCATCCGGCTTCTTGCCGGGCGCCTCAACGCAAGAGTAGTTGCAGTCACCCACCGCAAAGATCCTGGGGTAGCCCTTGTCATCTGCTCCCCAAGGCTTGCCCTCGCGAGTCTTCACCCCGAGGTTCATGTCCTGATGGCAGAAGACAAGAGCCCACAAGCAATCCCACATGCATCTGACGCGTCTGACCCGGGGCTATCTCAGGAGTCCAAGGCCATACGCGTACAAGCGAAACACCAAGCCTCAAGTATGTTGCTGCTACTTGCCGCACTTGCCCTCCGCTAAACAAGGCGCAACAGCGATAACAAACTGAGAGCGCGGCCATCAGAATCCAGCCACCGCCACCGGGGCCCTTCTCGCTCAGGGTCTCCTTGGGCATGAAGTAGTTGGACGCCTTCACGCCGATGCACACGTACTCCTTGTCGGGGCCACTTGGCAGGCCGATGGCGTTCCAGAAGTCGGGGCTCTTGGCATCGTACTTGGTGTTGTAGAACTGCTTGATGCCAACCTTCTTCATGTAGTTTTCCTCAGTTCACGGCACAAGTCAGGCGTGATTTGATGCCAGATTGACGGTGGGTTGCATGTTGGCTTCAGCAGGGGATTGAGTGGAGTGACAGCTGGTTGATCATCCCGCCTCGCCCCGACAAGCCTCTTGCCCTGAACGCAACATATCACCCACGCCCTGGCCAAGTGTAGTGCGAGTTTCGCAGTACGTGGCTGCCGACTTGGGCAGGGGGCCCAGGGGCTGGGGCAGGAAGTCGATGATGGTGAGCTTCAGCTTTGGGAAGAAATGCTGCAGCTCAGTCACCCACTCCACTCCAATGAAGCCAGCACCCACCACCAGGATGGAGGCGGCCTTGTCGTTCAGGGCCTTGATGGTGTTGTACCTTGCGCCCGAATGCCAGGTTTGGTCACCAGGAATCCCACCCCTTGCCACAGCTCTGGATTCCTTTGACCCTCATTCCTTGACACATCCCCGAAATCTCCTAAATTCCCAGTTTTATGTAGGCTTGTTGTCCATGCCCCAAAAGACATGGCGAAAAAGCCAGTCTTCGATCTAAACCATGGAACATCTCCGTGTAGCCCAAATCGTCACCACTGGGCCGAGTGGCTCCTCGAGGACGTGCCTGCGGCGGCCCTCCAGGAAGCGCTCGTCCAGGTGCGGCCAAGAGCCTCCGAATCGGCTTTCCACTGGCTGCTTTGTGGCTACTTGCGGGTGTCTTGTGTATTGGAGGGTACCCCATTGTTGGTGTGGTTTTAAAGGAAACCAAAAGGGTGGCTTGCCTTTTTTTTTCTCCGGATGTGGACCTCCCCCAAAAGGACGCAAACAGGTTTCCTTTTACCAACTCAAAAAAAAATAAAGTTGCACCCATCCATGTGGACACAAACATAACTGGGACTTCTGGGTTGGATTCCAAACCAAGGTGTTGTTTGACTTCCCAACACAAATGGGGGATACCATAGACGCGCGAAAAGGATGTGGACATGTGTCAAAATAGAGTTTTGGACCTTCCATGGTGGTTGTAGGGCATGTAAAACATAAGCCCTTGTATCAAGACGACATGGGCAGGCTCGTCTGCTGGAAATTGAGTAAATTGTTTGGTGCCTGTTTTGAAAAGGTGGTTTCCTTTTGGTTTCTCTTGAAACCAAGCTGAACGCGATCGGAAGCCCTTTGTCAGAACCTGTTTCGAGTGCTTAGCGATCAGAAAAAGCTGGCCAGCCCCAACAAAGCTGGACAACGCGAGAACTGGGGAATAAAAGCGGTCCGAAACCTCTGCGGACTTACCTCAAACAACATGTTTTTGTTGTACGCTGTTCAGCTTGCGCAACCTGCAAATTGGTGAATCCTCTGCGAACTTTTGGTGGGTCAACCCCCAAAAACACAGAGAAGGAGAAGGCGAAGGAGAGCGATGAAGATAACTCAAAACAAAACAGAGACAACTAAAGAGAAACATACGTTGAAGGAGAAAGATAAACATAAACAAAAAAGATAACAATAAAGATCGAGAAAAAACAACATGAGAGATAAAACATAACGAGCAAGAGAAAGAGAAGATAACGATGAACAAAGCAACAGACAAAGAGCAACATAAAGATGAACATGTCGATAAAGACAAAGAACAACTGCAAGATAACGAGAAAAAATACAGTGAGGAAAGAGCACGGGAAGAAAGATACACGAGACAAACAATGGCTTCGAAGCGTGCTCTAACCTATATTTGTGTTTGTATATAGTGCCCCCCCCCGCCCGCTCTGCCGGACTTTACGGGTGGTTGGGGAAACTCACCGTTTCTGTTGTACCAAAATGAGGAATCCCCACTCCCTGCAACCCTCCGTGCCTAGCCCAACCTCTGCTTTGCAGGGATGGACGGAATCGCCAAGTCAGCAACCTCCATACCTAAAACATCCTTGCAATCCCTGGTAACCATACATCATACACACAATCTTCAAGCGTGCCTTCATGGTTGGCCCCCCCTGACCCAACGTGGTTTCTCTGAGATTCCCCTTTAAACCAAGCCTAAGGCTACCCCCAAAAAAAGACGACGAGTCGACCATGTCGGAACTCTGCACCCACATCTTGTGGGTGCTCTCAAGACCCGATACATGGTCACAGGTCCAGGCAAGCCCTTGTATACGTTCAGATCCACTGGGAGGCTGGAAGTTTGGTTGGGGAAACAAAATGACCGCCAGTTTCTCGAGCTCTTTGGGTCTTTTGGGATCCGAGGTCGGTCTTTTGACCCCTACACATGTCTAAGCAGAAACCCTGGCTGATTTTCATCGCCCCCCCCCGATTCTTGGAGTTCAGACTGGAGGGAACACGGAACACCCCCCTGAAATGTGTTCTACTTAGATCGGGGTCAACAGTACCACTTCTACCGCTCTGTGAGGCGCGGAACCCTCGTTCCGCGCCTTCCGGTCGAGCTTCCTCGTGGATGGTCGGGAACCACAGCGACTCCCCCCACCTGAGAACTCTGTTTCCCAGACCCAAAAACCAGTGGACAGCATATTTCCTGTATACTTGTGGGTGTTGTGTTTCCTCCATGGAACCCATGCTTGCAGTTCCATCCCATGGAACCTGCGGAAACCGCCTCAGGCAACAGATCCTCACTCGCTCCAAAGAAGACGCAACCCGCAATGGGAGGAAAAAAAAAGCCAAGGTGGATTCGGGTGTGTCGTCTTTTCAGGGACCTTTGAACTGGTAGTTGTCCTTTTGGTCCTTTTACTTGCGATAAGGCCCACCCTCAAACAAACACGCTCCCATTCGCTTCTGCCAGGTATCCGATGGCGTCGCTTCATGATTTCCATCTAGGAACCCTTAAGTTCAAGCCGTGCAAACCGCGAAAGACTTCTGTGCGGCCTGCCTCGCGCACCAGCCGAGAGCCACATATAAAGCCGCAACATGGCGGCCATTCGATTTCCTTCAAAACGACCCAAACAAATGTACCCTCAAACAGAAACAACCCCAAATCCAAAATGCGGGGGGAAGGGGCGGCAAGCAGCTAGATGTGCCGCTGCCCGGGAATGCTGCGCATGTTCATCAACAGCCCACGCCATTTGAGCATTTTGGTCGATCAAGGATTACCAAAATGTGATGTTCAAAACAACTTAAACAGGAACAATTAGGGAGGCCTCTTATCTGCATCTAACCTAAAAGGGTATAAGTTTTTTTGAGAGTACCCGATTGGGGGTCTAAAGGGAACCCCCACGGCAATCGAAGCCGATATTTTTGAGCCCGCGCCATGGCTCATTGCTATGAGCGACCCCGACCGACCCTTCCAAAATCAGACCAGCAGAACTTCGGACCTCAAATCGACCGACACAGCCCACATCAGACCGACCCGCACTGAGGGTAAGCCTTACGGCCAGTAGGGTCCCGTCCCGTCAGCGAGACTTCTGGGGCTGCGACTTGTGGAACGGCCCGAAGTTGCACCCGGCCGCGATGATGCAGAAGTCGAAGTCGATGGTCTCCTCAGCGAAAACGCGGCGTCTCATCCCCCGAAGCCTTCTGGAAGCCATGGAGCCGCTCGGAACCCTTGCAGGTCTATCCCCGGACGTCTTAAAGGGGACAAGGCAAGGGGTCTCAAAGGGGCGAAGCAAGCCTTTGGCACAGCTTCCTTCGTGGTAGTTGATGGTTTGAAGGTTCGGAAGTGGATTCTTTCGTGGTTTGAAGGGGTTCAACTGCGCGCTTGGTCTTGTCCAAGACTCCCGGTCTGACTGGAACATGGGCTTGTAGGTCGCAGTCTTCTGCTCGCCGTTCAGTTCCTTCACCTCGCCCCAGATGTACTTGCAGGCCATGCGGGTCTCAGGGGGCGAAAAAACAAACGAGAAGCAAATAATGTAAAGATAGTGCAAAGGCATTCAAAGCCGCAAAGTCAACAAAAAATGCCAAAGATGTCAATGCCCAACACATCATAGTGCCATTCGCACAGACTTACTTCATGTCATTGGTACCGGTAAGCTTTCATAAATGCAGCTCCGTGCCTCAATGACAGGCTGCAGCGTGAAGGTCAGCGCATCCAAGTGCTTGGGCTTCACGTAGGCACGGAGCACTCCCGGAGTGTACTCGAAGAATTCCTGGCTTCATGATACGCGCAGGCGGGGACACCCGCTCCCACATATTCTTTGAACGATCCGACCGTGTAACCTGTGCAAGGCACAAAGCCTACCACTGGCAGCCGTGGAAAATATCTGACAGTAACAGCCAAGAGTAAGGCTCCAGCTTCACCCGATTCGGCAATATTTGCATACTATATAAGCTATACACCTATATTAACCTATGCCGACAACAGCGCCGGCGTGAACAAACTGTTCATTGGGCAATAGAGCTGGAGCCGTGCAGTTTGCAGCTTGGTTTGGGGATTGGAAATTGCGAGGGGGGGGGGGGGGACTTGGTTTCAAGGAAATGGCACAACACAGCACAGGTCCGTCTCTCCAAAAAATAATGGAAGTCAGGGGAGTCTTGTAAGACTACTCTTCTTTGGGAAAACCGGAAAACCCCTTTCACGTTTGCTTCCGATTGGAACCAGGGTCCCGAGTGGCGCTCCTGACCCGCATGAACCAGTCCCTAAACTCAGGAAAAATGCACAAGGCAGCGCCCTAAAGCCCCTTTCACGTTGCAGAACGGTTCATACTTTTCAACTGGAGAAAGCCCAGGGCACAGGGTGCGGCTCTGCGGGCAAATCGCCCAAAGGGAACATGGCGGCCGCCCGAAGGGACATGGACATAACTTGAACAACCAGGGGCTCCGATTGTTTATCCCTAAACATCACCAAAGGAATCTCACCTTAAATTGGCAAAGCGATGTTTTAAATAAAAGGGGAGATATACGGACCACCGTCCCGATGGACATTTTGGTGGGTGATGAGGTTATTTGCCTTAGATGGCATTCGAAAAATAGCAACCCAGTAACTTTAATCCCAGAGTAACAAACCCCTGGACAATAGGGGGCAGTGCTCTTTACTGGAGCTTCAGACCAGTTTTGGACTTTCAACCATGGATATCACTTCGTGGTGCGAACGGATTTCATTCGGATTTCAACCATCCGCCGTTTCCTTAAACTTCTTAAGCTTGCTACATTTAGATGGTGCTGTCCTTTTGGTTTCCCTTTTAAAACCAACCTAAGCCCAAAAAAAAAGAGAAAGAAAGAAAGTATCCCTTTTCTTCCAACCAAAAGGGGCTGCCCCCAAATGTATATATATATATATAAATCGAACTTCGGAGGCCGCAACCCCTCCGGCCCCGGGCATCGAGTCCTTGGCATCGATGATGGTCACCAAGTAGTGGCTGGCCAGGTCCCGGCCCGCGGCCAGGCCCGCGAAGCTGCCGCCGATGATCAGCACGCGGCGCCTCAAACGCCCCGAAACACTGGGAGCAAAGATCAGGGGTTTCACTTGGGTGTGGCTCCCACTTTTCTTGGGTTACGGATACCGACCATGGGGAGTCATATGGTCATATGGGTGGCTCTTCGTTCTTTTTTGTAGTTGGATCCCCGTGGTTCGCAACCATGGTTTTAACCCACTGGTTATAAGTCCCCGAAGCAGGTGAATTTCACATTAAATCATCGCTACTAAGGGAAACTCACCATGGGCCAAAAGGCGATGTTCAAGACCATCAAAAACGGGGCACAATATTGGAAGCCCTGCGAACACCCCACCCCAAGGGAGTGTAAAGCAAACCCAATGCTTCTTCACGAAATTCAATCCTTGTTATAAAACTCAAGCCAAGGAATGGATATGAAGAATCCAAATGGCTTGGAAGGAGTTCCGTTGATTATTCATCCGAAACACGGAACCCAAAGCGAGTCATGGCTAACTCGGGACGGATCCGAGACCCTGAGAATTATAGCTCGGTGTGCTCCTTGTAAGGGGAGATGCATCGATGAGGGACAACCAGAAAAACACAAATATCGAAACAAAGTAAGCCAAGTCCTTCAATGGTGAATTGAGGGCGTAGTACGGCCATAATATATCCAGCCCTTGAACATCAAACACATCGGATGCTAACTTTGGCATACAGTAAGCCACCCCATTCTTAATCGTCCAGCGCAAACTTATCCAGCTCGAACAACTACAAAGGCTGATTGCACACGTCCGCTCAGAAACAAAGCACAGGATCAGAAGGACAAGCAGCGGCAAAAACAACGATTCGGAAAGCGATTTGAGGGCCTGAATTCAGAATGACACCTAAATATGGGTTTGTTTTTGTAATGGGCACCCTTGGCAGGGAAACTAAAAGGGAAACCACAGTTCTCGGAGTCTCCCTATTTTGATAGGTGAATGTTCAAACCTCAGACCCTTGCACATCCGGCGTGGTCTCAGAAGGATGCCAGTGCGGTCGGCGCAATTCCAGAGCAAGGCTTATTCTCATTCGCCACGTTTCACTTAGGCCATGATATGCCATGATTCATCGGACTCTGCCTTGAGTCAAAATCAAGATCTGATACAAAGTGTGTCTGACTTCCAACCTTCACTAACAGTCACAAATCGCCGACTACAGTCACTAGCCAAACCCAGTCTTAAGGGTCTGATTGCCGGCACCCTGCCACACATCCCGCCCGTCACTGAGGCCGCGGCTGCTGAGGAGGCATGGCTGACACTACCCAAAAACGAAAAACTTGGGCCACAAGAGTCTCAGGCCGGCAATTCACGGCCTAAACCCAAAATCACAAATATGAACAAAACAACACACACACACACACACACACACGCACATAAACGATATTTCATGTATGATGGGTTGGTGTTGTTTAAACAATAATACAAACATTAAACAAAAAACAAACTAAACAACAATTTTTGTTTAAAATGGGGCAGTCATGCCGGGAGGCCTGTTTTCCGCGGATGCAACCAACGATGTTCCCTGGCAATATTTAGGGCATTCGCCATATTTTGCATACTTCTGGGGATGAAAGTCAGAACATGGGCCTGCTTCCTTTTAAGCTACCACAGAACGGGAGGCAATCATATTAACATACTGCGGCCTGTTGAGTCGTCTGGAAAATATATTCACAATAGTCTGAAGCAACTGGAAGGGTTCTTTGATTGGGTTAGGTTAGACATCACAAGCGCTCGCAAGCCACAAGATGCCCTTGGGCACCGATCGAGGGTCAATTGAGGGGACACTTGGAATTCTTTGTCCCTTGCCTGTTCGGTCAAGAGTTTGAGGAGGCCCTTCTCGTACCACAACTAGATTTTGCATGGGTGCATACTGGCCATATAGTGGATCCATGACTAAGAGTTGCCTCCTAGGCTTTGAAAAACCTCCTGGGACAAGCGGGGGTCTGTGGCCTTTGTGAACTTTGTGTTATCTGTTGATTTACATTCATGGGCGTCCTAAAACTTGGTGACGTCCCCCCTGTTGGATGTCTTGACGAAACCAAAAGCATACCGACTGTTCTTGGGAGTCACACCCACGTACTTCAGTTTGGCGTGCAGTTTGTTTCAGCCAAGAAATGTCCCATTCTCGGCAGCACAATAGCATGAGGGTGAAGCGCTGAATTGCTGCTGGTATGCGTCGAATCGTTTGCTTTCTCCAGGGCCTTGTCAAGATGTCCCGTCGCACGCGCGGGTCTCTTTTTTTCCTCCGCAGCTTGTCCTTGCGCTCCTCAGTAGGGCCACTTTTGCGCAGGCCCCAACAAAAAATGAGAGAACCCCATGTCCAATGTGAAAAATGGGACCCCTTTGACAGTTTCGCGACTTCTCTTCATCAAAACGCTTGGGCATCCCGAAGCATGGGCATCGGCGGGATGACGGCCAAGCACCAGGTTACGAGCAACTCCCCCAAAGCATTGACATGTGTATGTGTCAAAATAGGAGGACCCCAATCATTGATTTCTTTTTAGATGCCATCTGCTTCTTCGCTGTCCAGTTTTGACGCAGGAACCTTCCGTCGACAAGGATACCTTCTCTCCAACAATCATGGAAGCGAACGAACGCTTACAAAACCCTTCAGTCAGCTTTGCCATGTGGAAAGGGGGAACTAAGCGGGTTCCCCAGGAGCTCCTTTTCCGAATTTCGCGTTCACCAACAGGACATGAGGAAATTGGGGTTCCGCCCCACAGGAAATTTGGTTCCAGGTGTCCCCACTTCTTCCCACACCAACAGTAGCCAACAGACTCAATGGATCTAGGAAATTGCACAGTTTACCGAGATGTCTATCCCAGATTTTGTTGTGTCGTCTTTCATCGGAAAGCTCCGTAACTTCTGAGAAATAAGCCTAGCTGGGAACCGAGAGGTGTTTCAGGCACTGCCTTTCCAAAAGGTGAGATAAAGCCCCCTGGTGGTTTGGAGCCCGCTTTGGATCTGGATTTCAAATGATTTCAACCCCTGGCCTTTGAGGGTAGCAAAAGCGCAAAAGCACCGGAACGCCTCCCAACCGTTGCGCCAGGCTCCAAACCATCGGACATCAGAGGGAAGCTGAGTGATGTTAGCCACCAGGAGGGAGTCCCAGGGCGTTGTTCTCGGGCGCTTGTCTTCCTTCGTTTCACGCCAAGGCTGCCGAGGCTCGGTTGAAGGCCTCCCTCCAGAAGTCTGCGGCGTGCAACAGCCGCACCTGCCGGCCCCCTTCTCGGCGGGGGAGCCTTTTGTGGGGAAGGAGGAAAGCTAAAAAGAAAGCCATCATCCAGGACCCCATGGCTGGCAAATGGTCTGTGGCATAACCTCCCAATGCCTGTTTTGGGGCTATTTGCAAGCCATTGGGGGGTCCTGGATTTTGGAGGTCCGTTTGTTTGGGGAGGGGCAATCTTTGGGAGTGTGTCCAAACCGGGGAAAACAAAGCACAAAATGGGGTGGGTGTTCCTTTTGTCTTACCTTCAACCCAGGTGAACAAGGTTCTCACAGGGCTCCCTATATTTCGATCAAACATCACCGCGCCGAAAGGGAACTCACTTCAAACGTGTCTCCAAATTGGGGGGGGGGGCATGGTTGTGGGAAACAGCCTCTCTGTGGTATGTGTTAAAGGAGACACCTAAAACCCCAAATCTTCCACAACCATGCCAAACAAACCATCACCAAAGACCCCCCCAAGGGGTTTTTCAGGCCACATTGTCGAATAGGCTTGGTACCATGTTGCGGAGCTCCGGCATTGACTCAATCAAAACGCGGCTCGCGAAGGATGCCTGGCTCTCCATCCTCATGCCGCTCGAGATTTTCTCCAAGTCCGCTCCTGTCGCTAGCCAAGAGTCACAATCAAAACCTGGATAGGGCTGAAACCCAGACAAAAGGAAGGGCTGAAACCCATGCAAAAGAAACTCTGCAAATTGCCATGGAACCCATTTTGGGAGATCCAGGAGTTTCCTCTTCAATTGGGTGTCTTTTGGGGGTTCCATAGTCAATTGTGGAGTGGGCCGGATATCACCGAGTTTTTTGGCTGGGAGGCTCCGCTACCCTCTGCTCAGTCCCCCTCAGTTTTCTTTTCTTTGGGAAGCCGCGAACACAAACACTTGCCATTGTGAAAGGAATGCAAGGAGTCTTCCCGAAACACACAAGTTTCCCCTTGTTGGTGGTTTGGCTTTGTGGTTTGCAGGTTGGAGAGTTCCCATGTACTCTCACGAAGAACCAGGGCTGCAAATCCCAATTCAAACCACCAATCTGAGCCACCAAGAAACTAGGGGGAAGCTGAGTTAGAAGGGTAAACAAAAAGTAAAACTCACTCGCCCAAAGGACCTCGAAATAAAAGGTTAACCTTTTGGGACCTTGGCTATTAACAGGGGAAAACCGAAAAGGACAAACTCGGGGGTACGGTACCTGGAATCCTCCCATCGCAAGGATATGGGCGTGTCTTTTCTTAGGGGACGCCCAAAATGGTGGTTAATCCTTTGGGCTTCCCTTTAACACCTACCAAAAAGGGGTACCAACTCGAAAAAAATGAGCCACCCAGCGTTGAACGTTTGGGCCAGGGCTGCGGCCTCTCAGCACTTGCCACAGCAGCTCCGGAATCGAGCGCCAGCGCAGCAAATGGGGCCTAGCGGCGACCGCATCAGCGGTTGGTACGGGGAAGAAGGAAACGAAGGATAGACTAAGGGGGAAGGGAAACAGCCCATCAACCCTCCCCCCAATCCTTCCCTCCAACCCTCCCAACCCTCACTCCCAATCGATCCCTCCAACCCTCCCAACCCTCAATCCTTCCCCCCCACCCTGCCAATCCTCCCCAACCCCCCGAACCCTGCCTTTCATGCTTCCCCCAACCCTCCCCAATCCTCCCCCCAATCCTCCCAACCCTCCTCCCCCTTCCTTCCAACACCCCTCCCCCCCACCCTTTCGGAGGAAAGGTCCTCTGCAACGAAATGCCGAGAATCAGGACAAGCTTAACATAGCGAGTCCAGGGAACCCATTGGAAACCAAAATAAAAAGTCCCCATTTTGACACAATATAGGTTGCAGCCATTCAGCATCCTGGGGAGCGGGCGACAGTGCAAAGTCTGTCAGTGACGACCTGAGTTGCGACCGCTCTCTGCTTACACTGATGTCAACTCCAGATTGATTAATCAACCAGGCGGATTTCGTACGGGGGCGTTTGCTCCCAAAGAAGGTTTGCCTCACGCCCTCTATGAATCAAGCAGGGTGATTAATATTCAGAAAGAAAAAAAACGAGTAGCACGAACTTGGTCCTTTTCGAAGAAATTGCCCAGTCCCATAGGGCTCCGGAACCCTGAAAGATTAGCCTTGTTGGTGCCATCTAAGGCTCGGCGGCTGCATCGGTGGAAATTTCGAGTTCCCAAAGCTTGTCCCTGGACTAAGACCACAAATGCTCACCGAGCCTGAAAGTGTGAATTTCAAAGGGTTTTTTTTGGTGGACATCAGGATACAGGGGGGATTCATGTCCAACTACTTTGAAGCGTTCCAACTGTTCAAAACCAGTTCCAGGTACATAGCTTACATGAATTCGAATAGATATCAAAGTACCAGGCCTGCCGCGCCGAGCCCGCAACTTGCGATGTGTCTAAACACAACAAACACTAACCATCCCCCTTGTTCCACATCTTGGCGTTCCAAACAAATATATTCCTTGGCGCATGTTCTTTGCTACCCAGCCAAAGTCCTCAACAGGGGTTCCTCACCCCTCCTTTTGTGATTAACAATATCATTTTTTGGGGCCCCATGCTCATGTCGGTGGTTGTTTTTCAACACAAACCAATATGCAATGGACATCGCCTAACACGAGTGTCACTCGCGCCAAAATTTAACCACTATCAAAGCCCCAAGTGGAAGGTTCAAGGGACACCGTCAACCAGTTTCTGACTTGGATAAACCAACCAGAAACAGTCATTCGTAATGATCCCAGTTTGTTTCGCAGAAGTTGCAGACCATTTCAGGCATTTTCCTTGAGGGTTGATGGGAAACGACCCCTAAGTGCTTACTTGTCTCCTTTCCTAAGCTCTGGGTGATGGGTCGGTCCATTCGACAGGTGTAAATATTCTATGCAAATCTGTACCGGACAAAAGGACGCTTCAACCATTTTACGGTTCCCCTAGTTTAAGACAAACCCAAGTCTTCCATGGGAAGGCAAGCTGCAACCTTGGAATGCACGCAAGCTCATGAGCATTGAAGCGTGCATGTGTGATCGATTCTCAATTAGGCGCCTCTTTCTTCTGCTTGGCTGCTCGCAACGGGCATATTTTTGTTGCCCAATGTCGCTATAGTTTATGAAGGAGCCCAAGGAAGTGTTCCTAGGCTGAAACGGCTCTGTACACTTCTTGGCTTTCGAAATCTAGGGCTCTGTCTTGCGCTCTTGAAATCACGCGAACACAAATGAAGCCACATTGGGTCTTATGCGTCTTACGTTGACTCACTCACACCGTTCGGGCACAAGCTGATTGCCAGCTTCTATCCCTTGGTTGCTTTGCCAACATCAACATATATGAATCTGTTTGGAGACCCCAGATCTGCCTAATCCGGGCAGGCCAAACTCTCCCTGGTGGACACTTTGGTCGTTGGGTTGACGCCCTTGGCGATGTTACACAAATACTTCACCTGATCCGCTCGGAAGGGCGTGTCGGTGAAGTCTGCGCCCTCGATGCTTTTGACCTGCGGGACCCAAAAAGGGTGCTGGGCAGACCAAACGGACCGCCAGAGGCAATTTTGGGTATCCCAACAGACCCATCTATTCTTAGCATCCAGCGGCACCAGGGATTGCCCCCCCCCCCCCCCGTTTTCAGGGATTCTCTCTTTTCAACTGCTCCAACTGATTCTTCGTCACGCATTTGGAGCAGATCTCACCCCGGCATCAAAGTATCAAGCAGTGAATTCGGCAAGAAGCAGCCTACGTGTCATTAGCAAGTCGCGTGAGCAACGTGCCATGTCCGTGCCCAAATGTTTCGAATCAAGAGTCGCTGGACCGGGACTGCAACTAAGAAAAGCTGATCCCTGCCAGGGTTCACCTGGCTCGAACATTGACGAAAAACAGCTACATGCCGAAACCCGCCCACACATCTATCTCCACACAAGTATATACGCAGCAAAGGGTACAGAAGTCAGGCACTGCCACAAACATGGAACGTGAGAGGGGGCTTTTGGACGGGGTACGAGAGTTGATGAAATACAAGCTGTATTTGAGGGTTTCCGTAAAACACTGAGAAAAAAAAACGGCGATCCCTCCGCTTCCGCGGCGCAAAACGTACCTTCTACAACATCCATAACTACGAATGCTCTTCATCTGCTCTGGTCAGCTGCGAAATTGCGATTGGTTGTTCAACAGATCCAGACCAAGGCATCTCCTTAAAAGATCTCGAGAACATTCCGGGACAGGCTCTTGGTTCCAGTTTGCGGGCTATGCCAGCGATATGGGCATCGTTTGGGCATCGTTCGGGGCATCGTTCAAACCAAACCGTTTTCTTGTCCAGGCATGGTCATTTTGATTTGTACAGCAGCTAATGAGTTGGGTATCGGTTTGGGTATCGGTTTGGGCCCTGCAAATGTCTGATTCCGCAATCTTGGTTTGCGACAACAGCTTGGACCTGATGCGTGTCTTGATGGCTTCTGGGGGTATCGTTTTTTCCTCTGTTTACAATGGTTTGGGCCGTCAAAACAAGTTAAGGGACGTCCCCTTACATAACGAAAAGGCGCGGGGTTTTTATTTCAGTACGCGTCGGGCACTTTCCGAGCTCCGGCTCGAGAATCGCAAATTTTAGTACACATGTAGTGCGCGAAGGCCACTTTCTCAGCTCCAGCTCGTTGATCTGGAACTTTTCATACACAGATGTAGTACGCGAGGTGCACTTTCCGAGATCCAGCTTGAGAATCGTAACTTTTCGGTACAAGCGTGTAACATGCTTAAAGGCAAGCCAATAGTTTGAAAGAACATAACAGGTCGCAGCTTCCGCGCCGCTTCCGCGGAGCTTCCGCGGCCTGCGTTTCACTTCCTTACCAACATAGCCACCGCCACTAGCCACTAAAAACGAATACAGCTACATTTACGGAAAGCCTCATCTGTCTCTCCGTTGACGAACCCAAACCATACAACAAGCACACCATAGTGCACACAACCAAACACCCATGCAGATGATGTCCATCGCAGGGCTCCCAATCAACAACACGTGCTGTTCTAGCCGACACTATAAAGTGTATGCAAGCTAACCAAACGGCACCACACACGAGCACGCGATAACTCTTTCATCCGAGCAGTGTGTTGGTGCCAGGGACTCATCTTCCCCTGTCAGATGACCAACGCTGGGTGGGCCCCATGGGCCACCCAACTCACAATTCTCAAAAACTGAAGAACGGGTGTGCAGACTGATAGCGCCCGCCCGAGCCGGGGCCCGTGGCACCCAGGCCACAGGGGGGTCTGCCACCAGGGGAAGTGAGTCACCCACCGGCTCCGGTCACGGGAGCATGGGTGGGCCCACGCTGAGATCAAATGCATCTCCATTCAGGAGACGCGGGAGAAAAACAAACTCCTCACAGAGTTCCTGCTTGGGGACCCTTTGTAAAGGGTCGAACCCAGAGAAATCCGGGTGCGTCAGCTCATCAGCCCATTGATTGAATTCACGGGGCACATGGTTGGCCGCCAGCGAGCAGCCATGGGTGTGGAGCAGGAAGACCAGCTCCATCAGGATCGCCGCCGTGTAGGGCTTCTTGGATCCAAGGTTGAGCATCGCCATGACGTTGCCCTGATTGTCACTGCCCACCGGGAGTCGGACCCGGGAGGACAGAGGGCCTTGGTGCGTGAGGATCATGTTACAGAGGAAGAGCGTGCCCAGCATCTCCAGAGCCGCAATCCTCCGCTTTGGATCCCCATTCTTGAAAGCCCAAGGGTACTCCTCCACGTGGATCTGCTCATGGAACCAGTACACCTCCTTCTTGTCCGGTTCCACTGTGTTGGAGCACCAACCTCCCACAAATGCCAGTCCGTCGTCCGAGGCGCTAGCGTCGCTGCAACCCCACCAAGAGGACTTTGGCAAGTAGGGGGAGTACTGGACGAAAGGCGTGTTGAAGAGGAACCGCAGCATGAACGCCAGCATCCTGACCACCTTGGGGGGTTTCCCCACCGTGGTGGTGGCCATCTTCCAGGCCCAAAGTGGCTGGAGCATCGACTTCGCCAGCGGACATGCAGCCGTTGCCCATTGGATGCGGCCCAGGGCCTTCTCGATGTCCTTTGAGTGCATCGCCTGCCCTTCCACCATGGTCTGCAAAACCTCCATGACCAGGATGTGTTTGTTGGCTGCCATGAGAACCTGCGGGATGTTCGGGTGGACCACGAAGCCCAGCCACGTGTTAACCTCCGCCAAGTGCGTCTTCTTCCAGCTAAGTGGGGTGCCCAATGCCAGGAGTGTGGCCAGCAGCGCCACCGCCAAGTTCACTGCCCCCTCGCTTCGAAGCAGCCACAGGAAGTCGTCGACGAAGACGAAGTTCCAATCCACTTGAGGGAAAAGTGCGTAGAGGACCCTGAGCAGAAGGGCTGCCAGGCGTCCCCAGTAGGATTGGGCACTGGCCATGCCATATGTGCCATTCTTCCCCCAGTGAGGCCACCTGGAACCGCCAGTCCTTCCTGAGGACCTTCACTCTCCGGTGGGCCTTGGTGACGTCCGCCTTGCAGCACCCACCTGGTGCCCGGCTCCGGCCATAGCCAGCCCCCAGGTGGAGGTTTGACAGTCCCCCCCCTCAGGGCCAGAGGCACCCTGAGAGGGGGGTCCCTCCGCAGCTGCCGCATGTAGCCAATGGAGAGCTTGAACCCCATCCAGCACCGTCGGAGCCGTCGTCCTTTCCACCGTCTGGTTCCTGATGGTGTCATTGGCCCCTCCCACCGAGCCATCGTAAATCGTGCGGATCTTGTCCCCCTCGTCGATGCCCGCTAGGGGGCCGGGACAAAGGTCCTCGCTGCCGCAGCCACATCGCGATGCTGCCTCCTCCTTACTGAAGGGGCCCTCCACCATGCCCATGGGGACCTCCTCCAGAAATGTGCCCCGGATGAGATCGCTGAAGTGGTCCGCCGAGTAG